CTGACCGAAAGTTGACAGGAAAGTGATCCGATGCCTGAGAACCGAACGGAACAGGAAATGTGATCCGATGCCCGAGAAATGAAGGAAACGCAAAGAACGACGAATGTAAAACTGTATTGCCTTCCCTACACCATAGGAAGACAGTTGATTGATTACCGGTACTGCGGAATGCGATGCGTGAAAGGAATGCATCGGAAAATCTGCGTGATGGCAACAAACAATCCATAAATGCCATTGAATGCCGCCAGTACACGCACAATCGACCCTCCGTTCCAGGCATTTAACTCGTCTGTACACCAATTCCCGAAAAGTCGGGCGATTGCTGATGTAAAATGGGGGGGGGGGGAGTGTTAGCAAATGCACGAAATCAAAATCTTCTAACGGGAATTTTTTTGACAAATGCACTTTCTCACTCAATTTTTAGATCAGTAGTGCTGAGCCTCAGCTAGCGAACCACCTCTACTACTCCCCCGTCCTCCTTCCCTGCGTTCCGATACGACCATCCCCCATGGAAGATTCTTGGACCAACGCTTGATCCTACCCTTCACTTCTTGCGCTGAGAACAAGGGATCTGAACTACCTGGTAACAACAAGAACTCCCAAATAAATACAGAACGCCGATTGATCTCTTCACGGAATGTGCCACGCATTCCAAGTTCATTCGGAATCGAAGTGCTTAAAGGACGAATTCACGATGAAAAAGCAACCCATTTCAAATTAACCTAGGGATGGTGAGTGGTACACGAAAGAAGGAAGAACCATGAGAAACGGCCCAGAACCCGAGAAATGGGACCCCTTCCTTGCCCGTTGATTTGAGCATTGATGCGACTCTCATCGCTGTGCCCTCTTCAACACTACGCTCTCTCAGCTATCTAATCACTCGCCACGTATTGAACTACGGCGAGTGATCAGATGATCGGTGGGCGGAGATCGCCGGACCCGCCAGCTTTGAGGCATGATAGGTCGCCGAGGTCAAATTTTTCCATGCGAATTGCGCGTCAGTTCGCACCCTCAGGAGGTCCGTGGGTCCCTCAACTAGGTCAGTTTCCCTTTTCTTTCGACCTTCATTCTAATATTCGTGAATTCTTTAAGTACTGTTTGGTCCATGCTGTGAGCTCGGGAACGATCGAGCTGTTCAAGTCAGCCTTTCCACCCTCCCACAGATTTGACTAACATGAGCGAACCACGTTGTAGCGCAGCGTCCCTTAGCATTGCGCCATGCTTTCGCATTTGTCTTGCAATCACCTACGTAACGTAGCTCCTCCCCCCCTCCCCCGACATGCACAGCCTTCTGTATACACAATATCTGAACAAGCAATATACATAAGAATAATGAGGCCTACTCTCTTTTTGGAGTGCTGCTCGCAGCTTGATGTATGATGGAGTGCGTGCAGATGCCAGCCCACACCGACCTCTAGCGATGCACTGTCATCTCCACCACGTAAACGAGACCACCCTCTTAGGAAGAAGCGGAAACGGTTACAAAATGGTCCTAGAACGGTGATATGATGTTTGACGATTTCTGCAAGGAGCCGAAGTATCAGCACTGACGCATTCCGCGCGGATAGCGAACAGATGGAGGTCCAACATCGGGCTGAACCGCAACATGCTGTGCTACCCGCGGGTTTGGTTGAATGTTAATCCACCCTTCAAGTATACGATTTAAAGGACGAATTCACGATGAAAAAGCAACCCATTTCAAATTAACCTAGGGATGGTGAGTGGTACACGAAAGAAGGAAGAACCATGAGAAACGGCCCAGAACCCGAGAAATGGACCCCTTCCTTGCCCGTTGATTCGAGCATTGATGCGACTCTCATCGCTGTGCCCTCTTCAACACTACGCTCTCTCAGCTATCTAATCACTCGCCACGTATTGAACTACGGCGAGTGATCAGATGATCGGTGGGCGGAGATCGCCGGACCCGCCAGCTTTGAGGCATGATAGGTCGCCGAGGTCAAATTTTTCCATGCGAATTGCGCGTCAGTTCGCACCCTCAGGAGGTCCGTGGGTCCCTCAACTAGGTCAGTTTCCCTTTCTTCGACCTTCATTCTAATCGTGAATTCCTCCTTTAACACCTAGCGGGACAGGATATGGTCCCGCAAGTCATTGGATAGGTCGAGTAGCAGTCAAATACCATACCATTACCGTACCATTCTGCATGGGATTCGAGGAGAAGGATGATTTTTAGGAGGCGTGATGCTCCCCAAAAGAGGCCGTTCAAAGCGAAATGCTTCAGCCCTTCACCCTCTATGTAACCAATGATTGACCACGATGATCTGCGAGACAGTCCGAATATCGGTGAAAGAAAAGCAGCAAAATTGCCCACTAAATTGATGATCAGTCGCAAGAGACAAAAACCACAAGAAACGAGCACTAACGTCCTTTACACTGTCCCATAAGTGAAGATTTCCTTCCGGTGTAAAACCGATTTCCAATTCCATCGACGTGGATCTTTATCGAAGAAGAAGAACGATGTACGAAGACAAGAAAACTGCTTTCTTCCAGAAAAAATCCTTCCAGATGCGCCACGTGTCCCACCGCCGCTTAAAGGCAAAGTTTGAGCTCAGACCCACCTAAGAAGCCCTTACCATGGCTAGAAGTGCTGGGCACCAAGTGCAAAGTTAGCGCCACCTTTCTACATCGAAACCCGTCACCAGGACCCTAGGCGCCATGAACTTCTAACAGACTCCACCAAACATAACATGGTCCGCCCACCGATCGATGTCTTGTCTGCGTCGCTGCGTTGATCTGCTATGCTCTCTCTTCTCGGAATTCTCTACCACCCTCTGCGCTCACTATCTCTTCATCTCCCTCCCTGTCTTTTGAACTTCTCCACAGCATTGAGCAAAATGCTCGTATTTCCTGCATGTCAGGATTTTCTTTCCTTTTTTCTCCATTGGCGGTCCACCTCTCATCCCTACTTTCACATTTGAGTGGAATCAACCCATCAATGTAATCCTGATTCTTGCCATCAAAGACGAATTCACGATTAGAATGAAGGTCGAAGAAGGAGTAATTCACCTAGTTGAGGGACCCGCGGACCTCCTAAGGGTGCGGACTGAAGCGCAATTGGCACCGAAGGAGTTGACCTCGGCGACCTAAGGCTCAATCTTGGCGCGGTGGGCCAGTGCACGCCCACCGATCATCTGATCACTCGCCGCAGGTCTATACGTGGCGAGTGATTAGATAGGTGAGAGAGCGTAGTGTTGAAGAGGGCACAGCGATGATAGTCGCATCAATGCTCAAATCAACGGGCAAGGAAGGGTCCCATTTCTCAGGTTCTGGGCCGTTTCTCATGGTTCCTTCTTTCGTGTACCACTCACCCATCGCTAGGTTAATTTGAAAATGGGTTGCTTTTCCAGCGTGAATTCGTCCTTCAATATCGCCCATGCTTCTAGCGCCTTCGTTACTCTTACACAACGAGCACAGCCACTGATTTAGAAATCAGCTGGCTCTCTAATTCAACCACACTGAAGGAGAGAGTCCATGTACACTTTTTCCCATTTTTCGCTTTCCATACTACTGCTTAATCGTGCAGCCGCCAATGGAATACAAAAGATGTGATGAGAATCCACAGCTGAGAACTACGAAACCATTCGGTATGCCTGTAACAACCTAATCAGTTGGTATGGCTGTGATAACCCTCCAACCTATACAAGGCACAATTGAGCACACTCACAGCCGCAGTGTTGGAAGCAGGCGCGGATGTTGAGGGAATCATCGACAGCCGCAGAGCAAACCACTCGGACCTTCGACTAGGGAACCCAAGTTGCGGGCTCACTCTTGATCCTATGCGCAATGTACTTGGGTCGGGCCCTCTATAGCAAAGGCTTCTGGGACTAAAGCTAAGCACAAGCGCCATAGAAATACGAAAATTCCGCAAGAGCGATCCTCTCATCTTCGAGGGGCTTAGCCTGAAACTGAGCTTTCCGTGACCTGACGCGATGTCGTGGTGCCCCTCAAGCCAATTATGCCTTTGTTATCATATCGGATATTCGTTAGTTATGAAAGCACCACTATCCTACTATACGTATCCATTCACAGGTTAACTCCAAATGGAAAATGAGCACGATGCGGAATAAGTTGCGAGTGTAGCTCGCCCAGAAAGGAAAATACAAGCATTCATCGTGAAAAACGCTAGGCCAATTTGAAAGCAGTACCCTGTACTAGCATACATTTTTGCTTGTTTGACACAATTTGAGTAACAAAATTCAAAAAATTGAGATTTTCCTCGGCACTTGACAATCTAAAGATCGTCCACAAAAAGAGCTTTCTTGATACGAAGTTTATTGAAATACTCAAAATATCATAACACAACGATTATAATACTGGATACTAAGTAACCAATTGATTTTCCAGTAAATTTGAAAATATAACTGATAAAAAGTTTATAACATCACTCCGCTGATTGGAATTTTCCTTCGCTTCCGGATAGTCTGTACCCTTCCTAGGTAATTGGAGCGAAAAGGATGTTTGCCACATTACAATTATTTCAGGACAATTTTTGACAACGCCACTTCATTTTTATTATTATACGCTATATGCGTAACACAGTGAATCAATAAACAACATATTATTCTTAGTGCGTATTCTTTACGATATGCTAGAACGAGAGACACAATCTGTGATCTACACTTCCACACAACAATCTACCCACAAGACCACCCATACAGGTTTGAGTTTAAACAGAACATGGCACGTCATAGAAACAGAATCACCACATGTCTATACGCCCATAGTGCCCAATCAACTGTTAGATAGATAGAGAACTTGATGGGTATTCGAAAGGCTGTCGTGCTTTCAAGAATAGGGTGATCAGTAAACAACCACTACATATATTCAATAAGATATACAAGTGCAATATACGACATTACTCCCGTAAGTATTTCCAGCTAATCAGCCAATCTAGCTATCAATTTCTGATTTAACAATAATACGTAAAGTTTGGTTAAAACTCAGAGCATTTCGGAGCCCTCGATTGACAAGACCATCGACATCTAACAAATAGGAACATGAGAGAACAAATACGACACCGACTCGCCATTATGTGTTCGTCGAATCGCCTCCGCGAGAATCATTGAGATGTCGATACACTGGAAATCAGTTTATGAGCGGAAGAAACATCAATTATAAGAGAAAGAGTGAATATTAAAGTAAGACGCAGTACAGTAATCCGCGTCCAGCAGAACCACAATAAACCCAAGTGGCAATTATTCAACATTAACCCCATTGGGGACCGTCAGTCTACGTGAATCTCTGCATGTTTCCGTCTCATTTCATCGTTACTTCACAACCTATCCGTAATTTCATCAAAAGCAATGCATTACGAATCCGAAAATATATGCTGCTAATTTTGCAACATAAAAAAGCTCAGGAAAAAAAACAGAGAAAATGGTTTCTCTCTGTATGACCGATGCGCTTTGTTTACCACGCGATCAGCAATGAGTTCAAAAATACCAGTCCACTCACTCCGATGTCACTGATCTTTTCGTTTAACCTCTTAATATCGAATTTCAATACCTTCAGAAAAAATGCTCACTGACCTGAATCTTTGGACACTGCTTCATATTTTCATCTTGGGGTATGGTATTCGTGACCACGATTGCTTCGAACTTCGAATTGTTAAGACGTTGCAATGCGGGCCCCGAGAAGATTCCATGAACACAGAAAGCATACACTTTATCAGCACCAGCTTCCACTAATCTAAACACTCATTTTTGCTAGTGGATGGAGCATTTTATTCAAAATAAAAAACAGGCGTGTTTACTTGTCAGCCGCCATCGCATATTGTTGCCACATGTGTGCGGTCGTGTGGTACTGTTTTCACCATGTCATCAACAGAGTCTAACGGCAACCTAAAAGAAGTTAATAAATACAGGCATTATACGAGCCGATTAATGTACTTTTTTTTTTTTTGCGGATTTGCCTCGGTACGTTTTCACTGAAGATTTATCAACCTCATGACAAAAGTCATAGACATAATCTTGAAATCATGACTGATCAGGAATGTTTCCCCATCACCGGCAGGAGGAGCGTATATATAGCTCAATATCGCACTAAAGTGGCCACTACGACTTCTCAGTGGGGTAAAGTGCGGTACATCCCAGAAGGGATTGGATCAACGCTAAAAACTTCACATTCTGATATGTTCTATCCGTACCGCAAACTGCTTGCAACACAAAGATGAACCATGAATTTCCTCAAAACAATAGGAACTAAAATAACGCACCTTGCCCTCAACATTCCCAACCAAGGTCATCTTTTCGACTTCGTTGGCACGCTTCCGCTCCTTGTGAATAAGAGCAAAGTCAACATTGAGGCGATCAGCAATCGAAGTCACTCTTAAAGATTTGGTATATTTCATCAAAAGGTTCTCGTGGAAAAAATACCAACTAAATCTATCTCAGATGAGCGGTCGCTCTGTTTTGTTGATTGATTACAAAATGCAAGCATGGTTGTTCATATTTGGTCCACTCAACTACATTATCTGCTGGAGTTATTACGCCTGTCTTCCGTGTGTTCATCATTGTTATCTTTTAACGCCCGAGTGAAAGCAGTCTTGCTCGGGCAGGTTTTGCGGTTATAGATTCTCAAGATTTTTTCCTGTGTACAAGTTACCTTTTTGCTCCTCCTGCGTCAGGAGAAACAATAACAGAAGTTTGCCAATTGGGGATCGACTCTTTGATGTACTTAAGGATGGCTGGCTCCGCATACAGATTATCCACAGGAATATCGAAGAAACCCTGTAATTGTTTCAGAACGTTCACCCAGCAGAGTAGCAGTTTCGTGCGATTGGAAGATACCTGGATTTGAGAAGCAGGGAGTCCAAGTGATGATTGTGATCGGTCACAGCAACAGTAAAGCATTTCGCACCGTAGAAACGAAGCAATTGCGAACTTTGAATCGGAATATGCGCATTATTCTGACGCGGCGGAAGCCATATCAATTGATTTTTTATAGTCCAGTTACATTTTTCTTATTATTATAACAACTATCCTCAACCAGTAGTCAGAGGTACTTACCTTTGAGGCAATAGTAGTGAACTACAAATATGCTTGAGACCGGACAACTACTACTCGCTTCCAGAAACACAGCATATGATACTTACTAGCTTGGGCTGATATCGGAGCACGTGACTTATCCTTCTTGTCTTGACGGGCATATGGAAAACATGGTATGACAGCCGCTACACGACATGACGACGCAATTTTGCAAGCATTTATCATAATTAGTAATTCTGAAAAACTCTTTCAGTACCATCTTTTGCTGAAAAGTTTCCAGGAATTTATATTCTCGTCAAAAACCCAGCCCGATTTTATAAGGTTTTGGCGTCATTTCACATGACATCAAGTTGTCATTGATTTCCCAGCTCCGGACTGGCATCTTCTCATAGGTACTGTTTTGTCACGCTCGAACCTTTGTTACGCGCTCCGGATTGTACATTAGGTTTCCTGAATTGTAGCGATTAACACCGACATATACTCGAAATCATGCACCCACATTTTTTTGTCCAGCCTTTCTCATCTCAAATGAATACTGCGGGGTACCTTATTGCTGACTTTTTAGGATGGCTTTTTGACACATTGGCAGTTTGTCAAGACGTTCACGAAAACTCGTTGCTGACAAGTCGCGGTGTGAAGAACGGAGAACACTAAACTAATGACATCATACATATTGTTATAGTATGAGCGATAGAATGCCACTTTGTCACACAACTAGTGTACAGGAAGTTATTAGTTCTTAAGTTGATCAAAGCCTTCTGCCTCGTTGTGAGTAGTTTCGTTTATGTAATCAATGCGCCTCGCACGTCTCACGCGTCTCTAGCAGCTCTACTCAGTGGCAAACTGCAAATAACTTCGCCATACCGCAGATATTGTTTTATTTTCCCACATAACTCAACCATTAGACCATGAAGCAGCAAAGGTGGTGAGAAATATAGGGCCTCTACACCCACACGTCGTGATATATTTAGAAAAGACCAATTACAAACCGCATCTGCTTCAATGCTCTCCATCTCCACAAAAACAGAAGGGAGAAAGGAGAGAGATGGAAGAGCCCAATATCAGATAAAAAGTGCAATGCTCAGAAACAAGCAATTTGCAATCCACTCCTAGGCTTACAGTATTACCTTGCTGTGCAATGCCACTAACCATGTTAAATTACCAACTTCCGTAAGCTTATGTTGTCATATGACCACACTCTGCCAAAATGGCGCGAATTTTACAAATTGGTACCGTATAGGCTTTTCTGCAGGAACAGCAAATAGCGCCCGCCAAGCTTGCCCCGAAACACGCAATCGCAATGAATACTGAACACTTACTTTAATATTCGGCATCCTGACGTGTCCGTTATGCGGATGTGGTACTCTGACTGAAGGTTTTGTAGCGTTGTCAGTGGTCAGATCGACCCACGATCCTCGATAAATATCTGGAAAAGTTGCTGAATGTTAAGCATCTTGATTGGTGGATTTTCGCCTGAGTCATAATGATCCCATCGAACTCGGACACAATTATAACTTTCCCAAGAATGCTTATCTAAAGAACTGGGATACTGGACAAGTTTTTGGAGGTATTGTATGCTAGACACAAATCGTGATAAAGTTTGTGTTCGAGAGAGAGATGAGTAGTGAAGAGGGGTAGAGGAGTGTTCAAAAAGAAGATAGCTGGCGCTTTTGCAGCGGAGGGCGCACATTCAACGGCGTTATAAGAAACCAAACGGGCCTAGGAAGCCCCAACGGTTCTCAAACGCGCCCACTGCATGTGGAAAGGACGATGACAGCGACGAAATTGGAGTGAAAATGCTGCCACCATTGTTCGATTTTCTTTTCTATGTGCACTATTGCATTTAGCACCTCTAACTCCCTCTAACGGTATCAGCTTACCGCAAAATCTGCCTTCAAACTCCCAACTATATTTGACGGGGTGTGGCCCGCCTAGAACAGCCAAACTGTTTCTTTACGGGCACATTCAACAAGACCTTTCATTAAATAAAGCAGACTCGTTCTGAAAAATTTCAAACGTTGATCCGAGTTCAAGCTAGCCTACTATCCAACACATGATGTCCACGAATCTGCTTAAGCTCAAAGGAAGTAGTACGCATCAAAAAAAGGCAAAATAATATCAACTCAAAATTGAATGAAAGGGCACTACTAAGGTACCATCAAAACCCCGAAATATGGATTTTTCTCAGAATTCTGATCTATTTATTTCAATCATGGTCTGGCTAAAAAATAACATCAACTTTTCCCATCGGCACCAAAGTGAATGTCACATTCATGATTTGAGTAGTCAGTCATCGGAATAGTGAAATCTTACCAAAAACAGATGTAATGCAATGCGTTTTGAATAAGATAGATCTCGAAGGATAACTAGTGAAGGAAACATAACAGGTGCTAAGCCAACGAGAAGGGCTTCGAAAAAGCCTCAACTATTGATCAATGAAGATTAAGCCCTCCTCCGCTGTTAAACATAGCACGTAGCAAACATCGACCAGGCTAGAAACTCCAAAGCGCTTGCTGTAAAAGAAAGTGCACCCCAAATACGTGCATGCCTTGACAATTAGTATTTCAGGTCGTGGGAAAGTTATTTATTAGAAGAAGATATACCCAATTAGGTGGCCTGTGACGCCAAGGAGTAGCGCATCCTTTTGACGAACACAAGAATGTCAACTACTTGCTTAATCATACTTTAAAACGCGAAAGGCAGTGTGAACAATTGCACCAGTGATGCAAAGGCCTACTGCGCCTCCAGCAATTGAAGCTCAGCTAATTGGAACAGCGTGAAAAATTGACAAGACGACTTCCCGCAGAAATTAACATTATCGATTAAGCACAGGTAACAAAAATGAGCAGTAGAAAGCGAAACTCAGTAACCCACCAGTGTTTCTACGCGACGTACCGCTCGCATTCGCTAGCCCATGCGTAAAAGCCATTGACAATGGCTAACTATGGTGCTGAGGAGCCTATTAAGATGTGCGCGTGACCTGAGCGCTATAAATTACCCCGATGGGCCGCTAGGTCGAGCGGAACTCTTGCAACAGCTTAGTCGGGTACTACCACTCCGTCACATGCGCTGGTAAACAAACCAAAGAGCATAGTCCAAACAATTTGCTTAGAAAAGCGATAAGACAAGTCAACACTGCACCAAATTGAACTTATGCAAAAGATTAACTAGATAACTTTGATCACTAATGTGTAGGTGGAGGTGAAATTCGCCCAAGACATCCTTACCAGGGAAGGCATTCAACTTCCCATGGAACTTTGAATGAGACCCAGATATATCGATAGAGCTTCAAACGCTGATTACAAATATGGAAACTAAAACTGCAAAATGAACCTGCCAAGGAAGTTGTGAGCAGTCAAAGTTGGCTGGAAGTAAAGCGTTACATATGAACCGTGCTGGATCCCAGGCTTTCAGAATCGTCGTGGAGTAGTGGTAGTGCCCTCGCTCTTACCCGAAAGGTCACCCCGTTGGAATGCACATTTCGAGAGCACTATCACTATTCCACAGCGAG